ATTTGGTGTTTTATGGTTATCCACCTGTTTACTGCCTGTCGAGTAGAGGTTTTGCTTATCCCAAATACAGGTTCGGGTCCTGTGAATGGTAGATCTGATCCCTCTTTGGCGAGTTCATTAGCCTTTTCATTTCCTTGCATACCTTTGTGCCCTGGTACCCACGCCAGTTTTACCTTGTTGTGGGTTGCCAGATCATTTAGTATTCCAAGGCTGTTCCAGACAAGCTTTGACTTAATTCTGTTTGAATCAAGAGCCTTTAAAGCTGCCTGGCTATCTGAGAGAATTAGGATGGTTTGTTTTTTGTACTTCCTTCTTAAATTCTCTCATACACACAATTCGATTGCATGTATTTCAGCCTGAAATACAGTGGCATGTTTTCCCAGTGAGACGATGATGTCGCATTTGGGTTTAACTCCATGTACGCCAGAGCCTGTTCCCTTGTTAGTTTTAGATCCATCCGTATACCATACGAGGCCGCTAAGCAAGTATTTATCTATCTCCTTATTTACCTCGTTCCAGTTACAGTTGACCTGGAAGAGTCTGTTAAAGGTTAGGAGTGGTGTCATGTGATCTGATCCCATATTTAATATAAAATCATTTACTTCATGTGTTATTCTGGTATGTTTTATATGTCCCAGTGGGTTCCAGTTGTTGGAGATTTCCAGTCTGTATGCACTTATTCTGACCTCCCCCTTTATGACTAAGTCAAGGGGTAGGAGGTTTAGAATGATTTCCATAGAGGCTGTCGGTGTACTTCTCTGTGCTCCTGTTATACAAAGGCATCTGCTCTGTACTCCTGAGAGGGTATTGAGGGCTGTTTTCTGGTTTACTTTTGGCCACCAAACAACCGCTCCATAAGTTATCATGGGTCTTGTTATTGCCAAATATAGCCAGTGGACCATTTTTGGTTTTAATCCCCATGTTTTTCCAAATGCCCGTCTCCCTACAATGAGAGACATTTTACATTTGTTGGTCACTTTTTGTAGGTGTTGGTTCCAAGTAAGTTTGCTATCTAGGATTAGACCCAGATATTTTACTTGGTTCGTTTTGTTTAGCCTTCCTCCAAACAGAGTCGGAGTTTCTAAAACCTCCAACTTTGTTTTTCGAGTAAAGGTTATGAGTTGTGCCTTGTCAAGGTTTACCAAGAGGTTTTCCCTAACGCACCACATTTCTGTCAGCCTAAGAGCTCTTTGCATGAGTTCAAAGACTGTGATTTGGTGTTTCCCTCGGATAAGAATGACTATGTCATCGGCATATCCTTGAGCATACAGACCTTGATTGTTAAGTGTTTTCAGCAGTTCGTCTGCCACTAGGTTCCAAAGTAGAGGAGAAAGGACTCCACCCTGTGGGCATCCCCTGTGGATATTCACCTGCATGGTTTCACTGAACATTTGTGCCTGTACTTGCCGTCCGCATAACATGTCTTCTATCCACCAGCAGATGGTGTCTTCTATGGGTCTTGAATGGGTAAACGACAATCTTTTCTAACGGTTTCGTCGGTTGATGAAGTGTACACACGGCCTGGATGGTCGTCAACCTCTACTTTTTCCCGACCCTCTCAAAACCGTTTGTACCATTCGAAAACGCGCCCGTAAAAAAGTGACATCTCCGTACTTGGTAGGCGATTTCCCGGTTTTCAAAACGCTGATACTCGATTTTTGCACTAACCATTTTTCTAGTAAACACTTTTAACGATTTCTGTAACTAAACTACTGGCCCGAGCGTTATTATCTTAATATCCCGCACTTAATTAGATAAACAATACTGATGAGTAAGAAAAACATATGTCTGCCTAATTTAAAAATTTCATAAACCATGCAATTTCGGAAAACGCATTGTTTTTTTAAATATGTGCTGAAATAATTTAATTACAACAAAGTAAGCTATTATTTTGCTACTTTTTGATAAAATTGTTGTTTTTCCGAAATTTGATAGTTTTTAAACTCTCCTGTAAAAATGGTCAAAACTGACTCACGGTGTTTTAAAATTAGGCCAACACATAGTGTCTTTTTTAAATAGTTATATCTTGTATATTTCTTGGTCTTGCGACACAACTGATATAGTACTAGTCCTGTCATAAGTTCTTTTATTCTCAACTAGTTCTTATTTTATTCTTTTTGAACATGATCCTTTTTATGAATATTCTCCCATTTATTTGGGATAGTAGTTATGTTATCTCAAACTCAGTAATTTAAGAAACTTCTTATTTTACCTTTTGGTACTCCTTGGTTTATACGTTTCCAGTGTTTCCTCTTTTTGAAACTTACAGCTATTTAATGGCTTTTGATGCCCCGATGTCCAAGTACCCAAATTAGTTTTATCCTACTTTGGTCCCCCAGTATTATCAGTTTTTCATTACTGTCTCAAAGTAGCCTCGATACCAATTTCCATCTTCATGTGGTCTTAAGGAAGGCTGACATTATATGGATTGCTAATTTTCTGTAACTCACCTATTGCAAAATTGTGTAAATCTCTTCCTGGAATATGTTTGCCTATTTCAAAGAGTTGGTGTGTGCATTTTTGTAAAATACTCCTGTCCCAGAGACTTCCGCCGTTTCAGATCCGTTTGTATACCATGTTTGTCGACGGACATCGGGCTCCGTTCTCCTAATCTTATCATATCTTATCTTTATCAAATAGTTATCAAAAGGATGCTTCTAATGATACATCTTTTAAAAATCTGTAGAATCAGGCGAGAACCCTACTGGAATCTTTTGTGATCTCAGTTGGGCTTTCGACTAACAATCACGAAATTCTATTAAACAAAACAACATTTTAATGGTTTGTATCATATCTTTCCAATCGAACACAGTCGTTAAAATAAGACGATAGAATCTCCCGTTCTCATCAATTAGTAAATAAAATTCAAGGGTCTATCCTGGGACCATACCTTTTTATTATTTGTATCAATGATTTACCGTCCATTTTGTCTTAATCGTTTACTATGTTGATGACTCTTTTCTCTTATTTCAATCAAACGAATTAATTAAATTGCAGCAAAATATCGATACGAATCTTACCAATCTACAAAATTTGGTTTTGCAACAATTCCTTGTACCTAAATGCCTCTAAAACTAAAGCAGTTCCTTTCTATACAACTTCTATAATACTCGAATTAAAAGTACATTGACCTTCAACACGTTTGTCTCTGTGTCTTAATTCGTTTGGTTTTCTCGGACTTAGGCTATGTAATGCTTTTCCTGAAAATATTAAATCCATACAAACTATTGAAAAAGTTTTCAAACTTAAAATTATTATTATTATTATTATTATTGTTGTTGTTAAAAACAGGCATGCGACATAGTCGATGAAGCTGCTCTTTTAGTTAGTGGTAGAAATTATTCTTAATTACTACATTACAGTTAAAACTTAATATACCATAAAGTAATGAATAAAATTCTTCCTTCTTCGAGTTCTTTATCCACTCTCGCCTTGAACTGGTTTATGTTCTGGACCGAGACTGTATGTTCCTGGAGACCATTCCATATATACCCATGGTGTAATATCCGCTGGTCCACTTGAAGTTTTTATCAAGTCTCGTCTAGTTCTTTTATCTTTTTAACTTGAAAGTTGTAGCTTGGCGACTCTTTTATATTCTTTTCGGCAGTTCAATGTCTTCAACAAAGCATGGATCCCAAAACGGTCTGTGCAAATTCTATCTTTGGTCTTATGTAAGTTGTGTACAATTTCAGGATCATATCTTCGAAATGGCCTTTAAGAGCGCTTTTGATAAGGTAAATGAGACTGTTGACTTTCTTCACTATATTAGCAGTGTGGGTTGCCCAAAATATATTTTTTTAAATTAGCACCCATACAGTTCAGGAATTCTTTTTATATTTACTAAATCCAGGATAATACATGTTATAGTATCTCTAGATTAAAAATCTTTTGATTTTGTGAACAAACCACATTTTAATTCTTTAATCCATCAAAAGCTTAAAAAGTGTAAGAACTTTAGAGAAATAGACAAAATAAATTTACTAACTTATGTACACACATGTCAATATAATCCTTCAAATAACACAACCCAAATATGACATTAGCTTAGTTAACAAAATCTAGAGATAAATATCCATGGACAAAATGTATTATCCTGGGTTTAAAATTTAATCTACTTTTATGCAACCCACTACTAGTATTGTTGGTTATTTTATATTCATTTCATTATTATTGTAAACCTTTTGTCCAATGGCATTTGTAAGCTCTTAATGGATCAATAAAATACTACTACTAAATTGGATATGGGTGTTGTTGAAAACTACAATGTCATTTAAAGATCCATACCTGCGGTTTTCGATGTTTTAGTTTTCACCATTAATAAAATTTACACTTTGTATTTTTCAAATAATTATACATTTATTTTTTAATAACCGCATGCTTTTTTGCCACTCCTAATATTTTAAATACTTGTCTATCGCTACACTACTGAGAATAATGGGTTGGTATGTGCAACCTCCTTAAAACTTGCTCGTATAGTATAAAATCCTAGAGGCTTATGAGAGCTAATGCTATGCCGCTTAAGCACCCTATTAAAATGAGAGGTCCACGTGCGCCAGTAGCACTTTAAGGCTGACGCAGGCTGCGTTAGACTTTACTATCCTGTTTCTTAACAAAACTCAGCAACTTTCTGTCTATTCAATTTTTTGAGTAATTTTCTTACCAAATACCCACTCGAAGTTAAATTAAAAACAGAAAATGTAATCTCTAGGGTTATTGCATTTCACCATGACAACCAAAAAAACTCTATGATCTCTTTATTTCTCTTCATAAATAATGTCAAAAGTTGCAATTTTATATTTGTATATAAGATACATTTGATTATAACGCTTTTTGACAGCTTATCAGACAGACCTTACATCTAAATATCACCATCTGGTGAGCTTTGAAATATTACCTTTCATTACCTCATTGAACATAAACGTTAGTAAAGCAACTATTTGTTTCAACACGTGAAACTGTATTTACGCAGAGTGTCTTCAAGAGATTCTTTTGTGTTTCAGAAGCCTGCAAGGTGATTACATCACGAGCAGGATACCCACAAATCTGAATTTCACCTCGGGCACTTCCGAAATCAAAGGAATGACCGCGATGGCCGATACTACGAACTACTCGGGTGAACTAGTTAGGGAGTATCATAAGTCGAAACAGAAATTGCAGGAAGCGCTAGCGTCGCGAGAAAAGGAGAGGAACGATTTAATTAGACAAATAAACGGAGAGAACAATAGGTACAACGAAGAAAGGTAAGAGATAGATAAGTAGTTTTGTTTGAAGGTATAGTTTTTCTAAAGTCAGTTGAATATTCACCAAGTGCGTAAAAAATATTTGCTTAAATCATATAAAAAGAAAGACTGATTTAATTTATTCATTGAAATAGCAAGTATAACTAAAAAGAAATATTGTTTTATTTAGTTATTTATTACAAATTATTTTAATAAATTTAACAATTCAGATGTATGCTGGGTATTATTTTTTTCGATGAAAAAATTAGAAACGAGCAAAAAATACTATAAATGCTGAGTTATCCACATTAATACGTGCATCCGAGAATCATGACTTGATAATCAACCGTTCTAAATTCATTGTGATTTTGTATGTGGTTATTTAATTTCGATTGATAGAAATATAAAAATTGATATAAAGTTAACGTTTTAGGGATAAATATGAGAACTTGGCGGTTGTGATTGACAGTAAACTAAGGTTCTCTTATCATGAAACTTTTATACTGCAAAAATCCTATGGAAAATTCAAAATGCTTTACCCAATATTTTAAGCATAGAACTTAAAAAGCTTCTATTTGATTCATTGGTTCTATTCAACGAAGAAAAACTACTAAACCATTCATTCATAATTTTAAGCCCTTAATTATTACAAGCAATCAGATTGTGTTTTATATTAGCTGTCGCATCGGCCGATGCATTAGAACAAGCAAGACGGTTGCTAAATTGAGTGGGAATGGTTTTTGTGTTCTTATTTATCTGAGGTGCGAGCATGCATTTTATAAATAATGAATCAGTACTTATGATTACCACGCTTGCTTTACAGTGCTGTCACACTTCAAAATAATTTGTGTACTTTCCTGGAAATCACCTTCGACCATGATAGTTGCAACGAGAAACATATATTAAACTCATATCTGGCATTAAGATTACAAATATACTTTCTAAAAGTAATTTTGAAAGCCTTTTATGCTCTTTAGAGCCATAGATCAATTCTAAATTATATAAGATGTAACAAGATTCTCCCATACTATCTCATAATATTTTGACAGCTACGAGGATAACACTGAATGCTTGCAATTCAATTTTTGTAAACAAAATCAGTCTAGTAGTCGCCGATTCTACCACTTGCAAACCAATGTGAATATGTTTATACTATAAGTCCCTGTTAACAATGGAAGACCGCAGAAGTTACAAAGTTCTTGTCTTAGATAATATAGAGCATCAAAAAATGTAACTCAGTCACACACAATAATAAATATACGTTAGTTCAATATGTCCAATACACGCTTGTTCCACTCTAATTTTACTCCAATAAATATTATTAGAAGGCATTCCTTTGTATATTACTAACAAAATAAGATGCCGATCGGATGTCCATAACGGAAATACTAGAAGAAAAAAAACATTATTTCATTTCCGCGACATCAGTCATCTCTATTTCAACGATCGTTTAGTTATCACCTGGAAACGCAATATAACTAATTTCCAGACCAATTTAAAAGTACGTCAATATCTCGATTGGTCGATTGGAGAAAAATCTTTTTGATAAATTAATTGCTGTATAACTTTTGAACATTTAAAATAAGCACATATATAAAAAATAAACCCAATTTTAAAGATAACCTATCTTATAAATATATTTTTTGATTTAGGTTAATGTTTTGTACTGTAACCTGGTCCTAACCCAGTTTTTCAAATATTCAAAACATTTGCCTAAAATACGTCGAGTTCAATGTAAACGCAAAAGTAGATTACGAATAGTTTTATTTAAACTTAATTTTTATAATGGGAAATTTACATTAATGTTTGTTTTGTTTAACGTAACACATGTGTTGCCTTTCCCATGTCTCATTTCTAACCGGAGGCATATTAAGCTCACAGGAACGGGCTAAAGTATGATGACAGTACTACAGCATATTTGTTATCCCCTAATAGTTCGCACTCATACACCCCGCTAATAGAATACCTGAATTCGTATTCTCTGATATAGTCAAGTACAGTGATATCACGAAGAGTGTTAAGAATATAGATATAAATAAATATGTAAATGAGAAGTGTAAACTCATCTTGCGTCACGCCTTTCCACTAATATCCTAATACCGCACTTTACGGTGTGTTCAGCAGTCAGCACTGCATGGATAACAATATTTTAGATCACAACAGAACACCTGATATAAAGGAGGACGCTCGTTAGGCCCACTTTTGGGGTATCTCTAGTAGATATCCATCCTACCTCTATCAGGTTGTGATGTCTATAAATGTGTTTAGGCACTACTATTGAGGTTCGTCACATGGCTTTTAGCTCTTTTTGGTGGCTCAATGCTCTTCTTCGGCGCTTTGCTCTTTTGTTCTAATCATCGACAAATCTCTACTATATTTCACCTCATTTTTTTTAAAGGATAACAATTATACCAGATTTCTATAACCTATGTGTTAAAACGATATACAGAGGAGCATAATATGTCTATTAACACAATACGACTTGCCTTTGTACATATTCTCTCTGAAATCTTAACAGAAATAAGACATGATTTTACCCATTTTTGCATCCTACATAATGAAAGAAAACATTATTACTGTTTTAAAACATAGTCTATTCAGAAACGGTCCTATGCTCGGTGCGCAGGTGATTTGTTATGGACGTCTGTAAACAAACGTCTACGTGACCATAGTTCACTGAGTCGCATCAGCGCGAAACCACTCAAGGTCAACCAGTTTCTGGCACGTAGAAGTCAGACGGGTCTTAACACAAAACTCGATGGCAGTTATTCTTTCGTAAATACATAAGTTCTCTGAGCAAAGATAATAAAATGATAATAAATAATAAGTAATGTTAAGCCTCTAGGTGTTTGTAAATAAAGTGTAGTGTAAATATGTAAAATTTAAAATAAGTTGTCGTGCAACGTTTTGCACAATAAATTGGTTTTTACGAAGTTGCTGGAATTTCATTATCCATATGAAAATATTTGCAGCTAGCATCGAAAGGAAACAGTCCACTTGGTAAACTACAAATCCAACAAATACCATAATTTACTTAACATTAGGACTCGACAAATAAGTTAAACATCTGTGTACCATTTAAATGAACGAGAAAGACGACAATTTATAGTCCCTAAAACCAGTTAATTTTTTCCTAAATTCACAGGTAATGAAGGGCTTTGGCACTTGATTCTTATGGTCATAAACCGGAAGGGCTTCATTTATTAGTTATGGCTGGATTTACAATAATTAATCTTTATGGCCGTAATTATAATTACACTGTAAAATGAAATGCAACGACAACGAAATGAAAAAAGTACCCACGTAACTTTACAATTTTCTAAAGTTTACACAAATAAGAACGGTTCCCCTTTTAAACACATATAATTAATAACAAAACGATACCTATAATAAAACCATGCTGTTGTTGTAACTCTCCCCCGGAAACTCCATCACTACTATACAAAGGATGGAGCACTAGGTAAGGGGTGCGCCGAAAACACTGATCTCGAAATTAGTTCTACGACGGCGTTTCCGCGATTTAAAACCGATAATCGTAGCGACTAAAAGAAAATGCGATTATCTCTAAAAGTAGAAGCGTCGGGTAGGAAAAGGGTCCGGCTCAGGAGAAGTATTGAATAATGAACTCTGAATATAACTGCATTGAACTAAATTTTAAATAATACTGAATACGGATTTCTCTGGCGTTTGGTATTTATAGTCATTTTTATCAAAGACTATTATTTTGAAAGATGTGGTGGATAATACCTCGACTAGGATTTTGTATTCCTAAAATTTTACTTTAATGATTTATTCGTGAAAAAAAAAATAAATTTTATTTTAATAAATATTACTTTCTGAAAAGAATTATGTTGTATGAAGGATTCGACTCGAATTCCCATGGGATAATTTTTATCTTATCTGGCATTGGTCTTATTTATCAGGCATCGTAGGTAAGACTTAATGATCTAAAAGACTTTTTCGTTAAAATTAAGGAATTTAAATTTATTAAAAATTAACTTTTCTTTAATAAAATGAAATTAATAAATTGTGAAAGTACCTGGGTGAAGTAGATCACAATACTTTATAATAAACTTCAACTCGTAAACGTTGAAAATTATTTTTGAAACGATGGAATAGGATTTTTTTTAAATTTTCCGTGCTAATTACCACTTAAAACTAATTAACTACATTTAAAACAATGAAATTCAATAACAAAGACTAATATTAGTGTGACAAACTAAACGCGGCTGATTTATTAGTCAGTTAGATCCGCGGCACAAAAGAAAAACAAATGCCTACGCGCTTTATTCATTATTTTTCTACGTACTTATAATTTCCTTATACAACATCGGTCAAAGATGAAAAGAAACACCGATTCCTACGTAGTTACCATGTAGTAACATACGCTGATTTAATCTTATTATGCAGAATGAACTTATTTGTCTAAGCTAATAATTATTGTTGTTTTTGT